GGCCATCCTGCACCCTCTCCCCAGTCCCCTCCCCCCACCCGAAGACGAAAAACGGTATTCATTAATAGTGAAGGAAGTCTCGTCCCGTTTTTATTAAAAGAACAGTCAATTCTGTCGTAAAGTTCTTTCTGTGTCCCAGAAAAAAACCCACACACGTGTGCTTCTAGATTGCACACTGTCATGGCCTCCACTCCGTGCTCTCTGTTAAAATTACACAGAGAAACATGCGCACCACGGGTCGCACCATTACACCCAAAATGAAAAGCAAAACACCCATCTCGCAGTGTTTTAGTAAGTACAGCACATTTTCCCTTCCTTTGCACTTCAGTTTTGCAGAAGTTTTCCAAAGCTTTCAAACGCATACGGTCAAATGAGAGCTCCGAAGTAAGAACACTATGGGCCGTGCTATTTTGTCTAGATTAAGGACTACACACCAGTCGAGCTATAGTCGAGTGCTCGAGGCACATTCAGACCCTGCTTTTCATGTTGGCACAATTGGTGCCCTTCATAGCGAAACAGAAGTATGTCAGAGCGGACGGCCAAAGGCATTATAATACAAGTCAGTGTACTGAGCAGATATGCTGGGCCGGAGCCGGAGTACAAATAGTGGGTTCTCTTATGCGAGGGAATACAGTGTTCCGCTCTCATTAGATAGGCCCCGGGTTCGAATTCGCATAAGAAAGGAAAATGTTCGTCACCAAAAACTTCTCCCTTCACCTTTTTACCTGCTCTCTAACAATGTTTTGTCGTCTGCTTTCGTCTCCACTTTCTGCCCCCACCCCCTTTCCTCCTTTGCCCCTCCTCTGGGCTCTTGACTCTGTCTGCATCTTTTCTACAGCTCCATCTTGACTCCTTCTTACTGCTCTCTTTCTGTCACACCCCTGATCTTATGGTAGATAAGATCGAACACCTAGCCTTCTTGGTTATATGCGAAAAGTACAAATACATCTTTTGCTGCTCACAATTACTCGAAAAAGTTCAGCCTCTCCTTTATTTTTCTTCTTTCTGTTTCTAAGCAGTTCAGTGCCTTTAGAAACAGAGGGCAAAAGTAATAAACAATTAAAGCAACAGCACCTCATGGCGTCAAACACAAGGCATTATCCAATTTCAGATCGGTCGGAACTGATTTGTTCCCAAATTTAATCAAAGCTACTTGAGCCGTGAAATGAAAGCGTCTTCGAATTATCTTTGCTTTTTCTCAAAGCAAGGAGGAAAGCTAAACTAGAACATAGGGATAGCCTAAAGGTTACTTGTAACCATGAATGTTTCATTGCAACCTATAATCCTTCAATGGATATATCAAAATAGTTACTAATTAAAGTTAAGAAGAGTTGGGCTGCTTTGACCGTGCCAGTCGAGGCCAACCTGGTCTAAAAGGGATACAACTTCCAGCAGATAGTCAAAAACACAAGATTTATTTTTAAAAACTTTGCGAAATCGTTTTCTGTGTGCAGTGGCAATGGGCCTAATCGTTTTTGTTACACCAAAGATTTCGGTTTCTACCGATAAAAAATCATCTGTTCACTCGCGTATTTCTGGGTATATCTGGAGGGGTATGAGAGTTCAGATGTATAATTATTATAAATGTTCACTTGCTTAGAAGCTTGATCCATACCTCGGTTGTCTCTTAATTCTTCTGGCTTCACTCAATGATCGATTCAAAGTGCATTCTTTGTGCTTACGTCAGACAGTACCCTGGGAAATTCTGTCCGTGGGTATATCATTGCCCTCCCCCCCTGTCAAATTTTGTTTTAATGTTCTATGCCTAGAACGACACGATTTAAGGCCCCATCCGGGCAAACTATTTTAGCCTGCTGTCAGGGTCAACTCGCCCCGAATGAGATACGACATCCTAGCAGGTAGACTTAAAGCCTTGATTGAAAAACTTCCCAACTAAGGAATTGAACTAGTGTCTTCTGCATGTAACAGTGAAGAGCATGATCATTACCTTAAAGATGCGGCACAGCTTTATTTGGAAACAGGTGAGTTGGGTGAAAATAATTTTGTAAATATACTCAATGAGGTTTAATATGCTCTTATTAACCGCTGGGGAATCATATCAACATAATTGAACCGCACAACCCTCCTGACCTACAAACCCCTAAAGCCAAAACAGAAAAGACCATTTTTCGTCACTACTCATCACCAAAAGCTACCTAAGGTACATAAAATCCACAGCCAACACAAAAGCATCTTGGAAAAATCAGACAAAATGAAAGCCTGCTTCCCCGACCCTCCTCTGATTGCACTTCGCCAGCCTCCTAATCTTGGCAACCTCCTCATTCGCACTAGAGCAGTAACACCCACGTCCTCACTTCCGGTAAACCCATGTTCCCCGCCTCAAAATTATCCTTGTCAAAAACCTAGATGCAAAACATGTGCCTACATGAAAGTAACAACTTTGTAGAAGGCCCCCACTTTAAAAGAAAACTTTCCCACAGCATCACTTGTGAAACCAAAATTGTAATCTACTTCATATCCTGTAAAGTCTGTCCAGCTCAATATGTAGGTCAAACTACCACCACACTAAGAGCTAGGTTTAATAACCATAGGTATTCAGTCCATAAAAACTCCAGCACACCAGTTGGCCAACATTTCAACAGTCATGGTCACAATGGTACCTCCGATTTGCAGCTTCAAGGAATTGAAATAGTCCAATATCCTACTAAAGAAAAACTTAACCAAAGAGAATCAATGTGAATTTGGAACTTGGGGTCTCACAAAATTCTCACTGGCCTTAACATCGACGAGCCCCATTTTAAGGACCTAAAATTTACAACGTAACGTACTATTCACCCCTTATGTTCCTGCAACACCCTCCCTTTGGCCCTGCCTTTCTGTTATACTCCTTACCTCCACGTACTAGTTCTCTCTCTCTCTCTCTCTCTCTCTCTCTCTCTCTCTCTCTCTCTCTCTCTCTCTCTCTCTCTCTCTCTCTCTCTCTCTCTCTCCACTTTTTTCCTTCGTGTTTCCCCTCCTCTAGCCTTTTCGACTCATTGATTGTGTTCACCGCACCCTTCTGTTATTATATTCCTTACTTCCACGCACCTTTCCACCCCCCCCCCCCTCTCTCTCTCTCTCTCTACCACTTCTGGCTTCAGTGTTCCCTTCTCTCCGGCGATTTGTACTCACCGCTCCTTTAAATATTCAGACATTTATGTACGCACTTTAGTTTTTATAGCCTGTGTATATGATGATGATGATGGAGATATTTCCGATATTGTGCAAACCACACCAATACGTAACTTATAGTGAACACTTTGTTGCTGTGGCGTCATCACCCATTTATTTTTCTCAAATACTATGTTCCTGATGAAGCCTTATTGGCGAAACGTTGAACTGTGAAATATATTTTTTTTTTTGGAAATACAACAAGGTCTTAACTGTTTTAATACCTTCTTTATACAATGATGATGATGATGATGATGATGATGATGATGATGATGATGATGATGATGATGATGATGTATAATTGTGTGGGTAAGAGCCAATCTTGACATCTATTTCAGGGGTGAGACTTCCGATTTCAACGTACATCTCCTATACGCCAATGAAAAATAAGAATAAAAAACAAAGCAAAACACAAAAAAATAATTGATGAGTGATAGAACGTTCCAACAAAAAATGAATGCGGAATAAGTGAAATATTCTACTGGAAATCGTCAGCCAAATGTTTTGCTATCAAAACCAGATGTTGAGAACGCCCCTTGTTTTCCAGCTCAGGTCAACGGAGGAACAAGCTGACGTCATAGCCTCAGGCAGATGTACACAACTTTGTGTGGCACCATGGTGAAATCAGACTCTCGTCAAAATAATTATATCGAAGAAAACGACATATTATTTTTTTGCCCGTTCGGGAATTTCTTCAGAAATTATTTATTTAGCTCAGCACCTTTCAAGTCTCTTTATAAACATTTTTGTATGTTATTAATTGAAAAATGTTGATCAAAGGCACTAGAAAACAAAAATCAAAATACACAGTTTCTAAGGAGACTCAAGCTTTGAAAGTCCCTAAACGTTGGTTTCCGTTTAATTTCCTCTCTTTTTTTATTCTCTCACACCCGGCAACCCCCACTTCTTTTAATCGAAAATATCTCTACTCTAATTAAACATACTATGGGTATTCATTTTCATCAAAAGTTAGAGAAGTGAATAAGCTTTAAGATGATATCATTAACTTAATATTCCCAAAATTGACGAGCGCCAGATTTTACCGTGTCGTGGCACATTTAATTGTTAATTGGATCTAGAACAAAGCATTAGAGTAAAATAATACAACTCTACCTGTTGTGCGCGTTCATGTGAGATTATACGAGACAGTCTATTTATTGTCAATCCATTGTTTGTTTTGTTTGTTTATCATTTTCAAGCTCTCTGTTTATATTTACCTCTCTGTTAATATAATATATTTTGTTAACCGGCGCATGTGGTGTAGTGGTCACCTGCTTCACTGTCGCAAGCAAAAGACAAGACTTGGGTTTTCGTATCGGGAAGGATTTTTTGGTTTTGTTTGTTTTTTAATCAAGTATCTCTGTTTTTGTGCATGGACGGAGTGTCCCTCTTTGTGAGGGCTGACCCTGACATAGAGTGACAGGGGGTTCTCGTGGTCTAGAGGTTACTGTGTTTGCCTCTTACTCTATAGGTCCCAGGTTCGAAACCTCTCATCGACGGAATATTTTCTTCTGTCAATTCCTTTCCTGCTCTCTAACCAGGTTTGTCGTTTGCTTTCGTTTCCACTTTCTGCCCCTCACCCCCCCCCCCCCTCTTCCCCCTCCTCTGGGCACCTCGCTCTTTCTGCGGCTTTTCTACTGCTACTCCGTAGCTCCATCTTACTACTGTCTAGACGTCTTTCAGTAACACCCGTGGTCTTCAATCTCTGACCATTCTTTAGGGGTAGGTGCCTCGATTCGCTCATTAATGGAATACTACTATAGTTAAGTGGGTTGGTGCATGTAAAGTTTCTCTGCACTAGCCTCTGTATTGAAGTGCAAAATATTGACTAGTCTCTAAGTCTTTTTATCTTTTACCTCACTTTTCGAACAACCCTCATACTGTTCATATTTTTCTTTTCTTATGTCTTTTTATTTTAGGACGCAATATTTGATCGGACAAGGAGCGACAGAATGAGAATAATCATCCAAACACTGACAAAATGAGGAAGAAAAATTATTCATCATCATCATCATCCAGTGCCAGATCTATGACAGACATCGGCGATCATGATTTTGCATTCATTCCTTTGCTCGGATGCTCTCAGAAAAGCTACGTTTCCCTGATCTTTTCCTGTTACCCATTTATTTAGGTTCCCTAAGTATGTTGTTCTGGGCCTACCCCTGCCTCGCTTGCCCTCAATTTTTCCAGTGAGAGCTAAATGTGCAAGACCCTTATGTCTATTCAGGTGTCCCAAAAACTGCATTTGTCGTTTCCTGATTGTTTTTAACATTGAGCGTCCCACGTGGGCTTCATCAAGCACTACTTCATTTGATTTCTTTTCCTTCCACGATACTCTTAGCAGTCTCCTAAGAAACCACATTTCTGTTGGCTCTATTTTATTTTCACTGTCTTTAGTGATTGTCCAGCATTCACAGCCATATAGAAGTGTTGACCAAACATAGCATTTCAGGACTTTCATTTTGGTGTTCATTGATATGTTTCTATTTTTCAGGATTGGGCTCATTTTATTGAAACCAGCCTTAGCCATTGCAGTTCTCCTTTTTATTTCTGTGGAAGATTTGGCATCAGATGTTATCATATATCCTAGATATTTAAACTGTTGGACTTGTTTGATCTTTTCACCTTTGCTAATGAGATTACAACTAGGATTTGCTGCTTTTTTGGATATTACCATGCATTCTGTTTTCTTTACATTCAACCATAATCCTTTACGTTCACTTTCTTTTACAACAGTATCTAGAAGCAATTGAAGGTCTTTTTCGGAGCCTGCTATTAAAACCGTGTCATCTGCATACCTGATGTTATTAAAATTTTCTCCATTTACTTTGAGGCCTGGACATTCTTCTATGTTTCTAAGGATTGTTTCACTGTACATGTTAAAGAGGTCTGGTGACATAACACATCCTTGCCTCACTCCTCGCCTAATCTGCTTATACTCACTGTATTCTCCATTAATTCGTACAGCAGCGTTTTGATCCCAGTATAAATTTCTGATAATTCTTAGGTCTTTTCCATCTATGTCTAGTTTTTACAGTATTTTAAATAGCTCATCAAGTCTAACTTTATCGAACGCCTTTGAATAATCTATGAAGCATAAATACAGATCTTTCTGTGCTTCAATACATCTTTCCATTAACATTAGTAAGGTGAATATAGCATTTCTGGTGCCCTGAAAAATTATTATTCGAACTAAAACGCCATATTCCTTGGCGATGTCATGACAAACTCTACCATAACAGTCAGCCCAGGTTGAGTGGTCTGGTAATTAGCCAACAATCTGAACACCCAATCGCCATCGATGTCAAGAGGAAGAACAAATTGGTTTATCGTTCGGCCTCCGAAATCATAAATAGTTGTATAAAAAGCTTAAAAAACAACGACGCAAAAAATAGCCCTGTAATGTTACATCATAGGCTGTGCACACTGGCGTATTTATTCCAGTTCACAGTAAAGGCACTTTCTTTTCTTTTTTTCTTTTCTTTTTTTCTTTTTTTCTTCCGCTTGTACCCTGGGGTGTCGCGGGGAGACACAGGTGTCTGTCTGCAGCAAGTCGTGTGGCCTGTAGGAGGGACATCCCATGATCTTTAAGGGTGTCTGCCACAGATTCACTCCATCGTCGCCTTGGTCTTCCTCTGGCTCTCCATCCAGAATATTTAATGTTGTATGCTCTCAGAGCTGGATGGTTTGAGGGCATCCGCGTGAGGTGTCCGAACCACTTGACCTTTTGTTTTTCAATGTGTGGTAGAACTGGTGTTGCTCCCACGGTGTCCCTTATGACTTCATTTTTAATTTTGTCTCTTCTTGTTTTGTTGACCGCTCTTCTTAAGCATTTCATCTCGCATGTGACCAGTTTCCTCTCTAGGGCTTTTGTTAGAGTCCATGTCTGGCACTGATATGTGAGCGTTGGAAGGAAAATGGCGTTGATGAGCTTCGCCTTGGTGCTCATGGGGATATTGGGATGTTTCAGGAGAGGGCCCAGTTGGTAGCTGACTGCGTTGGCTCTCTGGCATCTAGTCTCTATCTCTCCATCTAATTTTCCATTTTCTGTGAAAATGCTGCCCAAGTATTTGAATTCTCTGCTTTGTTTTAGTTGGGATCCATTGATGTTGATATCCACTTTACCTGGTCTCCTGCTAATTGTCATGACTTCGGTCTTGCTTATACTGATCTTCATGTCATATTTTTCGCAGCTGGCATTTAGTTGGTTTATATGCTCCTGTAGCTGAGTCTTGTTGTTAATCATTGCCAGGTCATCTGCAAACATGAGTTCGTTGAGTGCCTCTGGGTCTGGATTGGCCTCTTTTGTTATCTGGTCCATGTAGATCACGAAGAGCAGAGGGGAGAGATTGCAGCCCTGTCTCACTCCGGATGTTACTGGAAACCAGTCCGATGTTCCACTGGTAGTTCGGACAGCGCTTCTGCTGTTGGCATAGATAGCCCTGATGTTGTCTAGCAGTTGTCCCTTGATGTCGTACTGCTCTACGATCTTCCATAGCTTGTCCCTATTTACTCGATCAAAGGCTTTTTCTTGATCCACAAATACGAGGTGGAGATCTTTGTCGTATTCCAAAGCCCTCTCACACAGTTGTCGGAGTGCGAAGATTGCATCAGTGCACCCTCTTCCTTTTCTAAAGCCAAATTGGGCGTCACTGAGAAGATGTTCGGTTTTTGCGCGTGTACGTCGCTCTAGGATTTTTGCATACATTTTCCCCACATGACTGAGAAGAGATATGCCTCTATAGGTGTTGCAGTCTTTCTTGCTGCCCTTTTTCTTCCATATTGGCACCACTATCGCATTTTGCCAGTCTGCTGGCACTTTTCTTTCTTTCCATGCTTTTTGGAAGATGATTGTAAGCCAATGTATTCCGGTTTCGCCGCATGCAAGGATGGCTTCGGTTGTGATGCCATCATCTCCAGCTGCCTTGTTCTTTGGACTAGTTTTCAGTGCTTCTCTCACTTCACTCTCCAGGATGGTAGGTTCTGAGTGCTCAGGGTAGTTGGCGGTGAATGGGCACTATGTGTTTTGTGCCTGTACTCCTGATGGGTTTAGTAGTTCTTGAAAATATTCTTCCCATCTTTTTATTATTTCTTTCTCTTCGTGCAGAGCTTCTCCATTAGTATCGTTGATGACAGTGGTGGGTACATAGGATTCGTCTCTCGTTCTCATTGTCTTTACCTTCTTGTAGAACTCTCTTGGTGAGGTCTTGCAGGTTTCACTTAGTTTTTCGCCATACTGGGTCCATGACTTTTCTTTTGATGTTATAACGACTTTCTTACTGTGTCTTCTTGCAAGTCTATATTTAATGTAGTCCTCTTCGTTTTTTGACGTGACCCATACATTATACAGTCTCTTTTTTTCCTTGATAGCATCTTTAACTTCTTCGTTCCACCAGGCTGTTGCTTTTCTGTATTTTCCTCTTGTTTTCTTGGTACCACAGACTTCTTTCATTGTGTCCAGGAGAGTTGTTTTGAAGGTATCCCAAGCTTCCTCTACGGTTAGTATTTTAGAGTTGATAGAGCCTAGTTTTTCATTTAACGTGCTTCTGATCTGAGCCTGCACCTGATCATCTCCAAGTTTATGCATATTTAGTCTCTCTTGCTGTCTTTTATGTTTTTTGGGTTTTCTTTCTTTCTTGGTGGTCAACGTTGTGATGATTGGCCTGTGGTCTGTGTCCAGGCCTGCATTGGGGATGGCTCTTGAGTCTGTGATTGTGATCCGCATTCGTGTTCTCGTTAATATGAACTCGATCTGTGATGAGACCATGATGTTGTTCCATCTGTACCAGGTGTAGATCTGAGAGGCTCTGTGCTGGAAGAAGGTGTTGGTGATGAATAAGTCGTGCTCTGCACACAGTTCCAGTACATGGTTGCCGTTATAATTGCATGGTGTTCTGTGGTCACTGTGTGGACCCAGGTGTTTTGTCCACGGTGTTCTTCTCTCTCCGACTCTTCCGTTGAAGTCTCCCATTACATAAAGGTCTTCCTCGTCTGGGATGTTGCTAATTAAGTCCGAGAGTTGTTCGAAGAAAGAGTCCTTTTCTTCGTCTGAGTAGGAGTCGTTACACGGTGCATACACCTGAATGTAGTTTGTGGTCTTTTTGCCCTCTCTAATGCTGATTTTGATGAGTCTTTCAGAAATGAAGTCCGTATTCAATATTTCCTTTGCTTTGTCAGGGTGTATGATGAAACCCACACCGTGTTCAGCTCTTTGTTCTTTTCTTTCCCCACTCCAAATGAGGACAAAGTTAGAGTGGATCTCTTTTGTGCCTGTCCCTTTTTTCCTGATGTCTGTAATGCCCATGATGGAGATCTTGTTCTGGGTCATGAACTCCACTATCTCAGGTTCTTTATTTGTCAAGCTGCAAATGTTCCAGGTCCCTATTTTTTCATTTTTTCTTGATCGTTGTCCACTTTTCTCGCCAGGTCGTTTTCCGTTTTGATCAGTCCGTTTGTGTCTCCTTATGTTTTCTTGAGCAGTGTTTACATCCACTGCCGGCCTGCTAAGCCAGTCGCAGTTTCACCAGAGCCCCGTTGGCCAGCAACGTTTCGGGGTGACCCGGGTCGGACTTCACGGCAAGCGTAACGCCTCAATGACATAAAGTCACACCGTACTTCACCCAGACCCAGCTATCCCCTACTTTGTCCTGTTTCCATCTCCCACGGCGTGGACGAGGGGTTGGACTTCGAGAGATAGTAAAGGCACAATCTAAACCAAATGAAGGGCACAAGTGAAAGGTTCCACACGCACTCGACTGTCGTGAGACTGGTGTTTTACGCTTCATTTGGGCGTAATGGCGCGGCACTTGGTGTGCCCCCTCGTCATTATAGAGAGCACAGAGCGGTGGCCATGACAGTGCAGTCTAGGAGTGCATAAATCTCTGAAAACAGACATATTTCTTGTGCTATAAATATAGCTGTTACGTGATTTCTCAAGAGAACCAGCCTCTTTCAGCGTCTATAGTTTTTAGGCCCTTGAGAATTTTATAATAAAAGGAGTATAGATTCTAAGGCCGGATTCTATTATCACGCAGCATCTCTTATACAATATGATGATTGTAAATTCTTATGCACAGCCCTTCCAAAAACCTATAGATCTACAATAAGGTTGCTTAATTAAGGAGGCAGAATGCTTCAACTGTGCATGTCAGGCTCAACCCGGGCTGAGGGTTGACACAGCATTTCAATATACTGACGGAGATATCTCATAAAATAACTTCTATTTCAGGAAACTTAACTCTTCTGCGTTCATCGGTGAAGTTTCTTACCGCTACCCTCTGAGGTGTGTGGTGATCCCATGTCTTTTAAAGAAAACGTTTTTACACCTCCATCGACATAATTTAAATCATATACGACGCAGGCTTCCGACCCTGTCTGTCCAGTCAACCCGGGCTGAGTGGGAAACATCCCAGCAGGAAAAAGACCAAGCTACTCGATAAAAATCCTACCCACTCGGAATCGAACTTGGATCTCCTGCTTGCAACAGCGAAATGCGTCCAGCAGATAGATGGAAATACTAGGAAAGAAACCTTGCAACAAGGGAACTGAACTTGCGTCTGCAGTGTGCAATGGTGAAGCGCCCCACCGCTACACCACAGACACCAGTGATATGGATTTAATGCCCCTTTCAACACTGTAAGGTCGTTCGAGAACAGAAACCTACTAGCTCAACGTCCACCTCTGACAGGACGGAGCCAATCAGGCGAGAGCCTTAAACACTCTCCAGACAACGAACAATCAAGAACGCCCGGTCAGGGATTTGAACCCGGTCCATCCTACCAGCATGATACCGACAAAACTAACGGTATTGCATATAATGATATACAATTGGTGATAAAAGATTGTAAGACCACACATTTATCATACGCATACACTCGAATTTTGATACCAAATAATAGTATTGAAAAAAGCATCATAGTCATAGACTTGTTTCCCCTTAATCAGTTCCAAATTGAATCGAATGGTGTCCTCATCATCCAGTACTAGATCTGCGACAGACATCGCGATCACGGTTTTTCTTTCATTCCTTTGTTCGGATGCTCTTAAGAAAACGTTTCTGATCTTTCCCCGTTATCCATTTGTTTAGGTTCCCTAAGTAGGTTACTCTGGGTCTACCCCTGCCTCGCTTGCCTTCAATTTTGCTAGTGAGAGCTAGATGTTCAAGACCGTATGTCTATTCAGGTGTCCCAAAAACTGCATTTGTCGTTTCTTGATTGTTTTTAACAGTTAGCTTCCCACGTGGGCTTCATCAAGCACTACCTCATTTGAATTCGTTTCCTTCCACGATTTTCTCAACAGCCTCCTAAGAAACCACATTTCTGTTGCTTCTATTTCAGTTTCACTGTCGTTAGTTATTGTCTAGCATTCCCAGCCATACAGAAGGTTTGACCATAAATAGCATTTCAGAACTTTCCTGTTGGTAATCATAGAGATGTTTCTATTTTTCAGGATTGAACTCATTTTATTGAAACTAGCCCTTGCAATCCTCCGTTTTATTTCTGTGAAACATTTGGCATCAGATATTATCATATATCCTAAATATTTCAACGGTTGAACTAGCTTGACATTTCAACATTTGCTAATGAGATTACAAATAGGATTTGCTGCTTTTTTATATTTCCATGCATTCTGTTTTCTTCACATTCATCAATAATCCGGTGCCTCAATAGTGTACAGAAATTACGGCACAGCGCGCGGTCAAGGATATAATATATATCTATGATCGTACGTTAAAGTTGTTTTCAACTATTATTTTATTGTATTGAAGCTCATATTGCAATAGAAATGGGTTTCAGTGTTCTCCTATCTTTTATTCCTCAGCCCATTAGACACTTTACCGTCGCACGAAGAAGACTTGAGATCGTTTTCCGCGTGTGGAAGATTTTGCTTGTTTGTTTGATTTGTTTGGTTCATCGTTTGTTTCATGTCAAGCTTCAGAGTTTGTCCACTGGGGTGTTGCATCCCTCTCAGACCTGATTGGTCTTTAAATGCAGGGTCAAAGCAGCCTGCCTTCTGAATAAACCATGTCACGACGCAGTGGAATCAGGCGCTTGTCAATTTGTGGGCATGTGGAATTATTGGTATCTTATTCTTAAAGCGTATTTATTTGTCTTGCCCTCGATGAAAATAACATTCATTTATCTTGCATAGAACTAGAGATATTTGAGAATGAAGGAGGTAGGGAAAGCTTGGTTTCAGAGGAAAAATTGGCCAGAAAATGGCCGCCAAAATCTGGCAACTTCTAGACCTATAGCTTGAGAGTCATTGAAAACTAAGAATGTACATGTATATTCTAAGAGTTAAGTAAAATTCGCATAGAAATATGTTTTTATATGTATAAAAAAGTTGTTTAGAAAAAAAAGAAAATTTCAAAAAAATATTGTCAACCTGGAGGGAAAATGCCTGTTTCTTCGATTTTATCATTTTGACGAGCGCGTGATTTTACCACGATGCCTCACATATTGTGTTGTAATTAAGTAACAGTTAGGCCTCTTTCAACAGTTAGGCCCATTGAAAGGCAGGACCTCAAAAGTTAATGCCAGTCTCCAACAGCAGAATTGACCAAGCCTGGTGGAGAGCCTTGAAATGTCGAAAAAGTCCAAGTTAGAAAACACACCCATTAAGGATTTGAATTATGGACTTCTGCGCTGGCAAAGCTGATGTTTATACCTTTTTTTATAATGAAGGTGGGTTTCTTTTCTTCCCCCCCCCCCCCCCCCCCCATGGGCACAAATTAAACCATTTAGGAGATATAATATCCCAGCAGAAAGACCAAGGTACGGGATAAAATGTTCTCCCTATTCTGAAATCGAACACCATTCCTCTGCGTGCGACAGTGAAGCGCCTATCGCTACACCACAGGCGCCTGGCAGTTAAGCTAATGATGAAAGAAAAGGACAAAGGGTTGTTAAAAAAAGTTATTCGGCAACATTTAGTTTTCGAACTTTGACTCCCCACGAGCAAGCGCACGTAGTCAACATCAAAAACAGCACACATTGGCCAGCCCTGATTACGAGCCCTGGTAATTGGCCGAGGATCGCGACCAGGAACCGTAATCGATGTCACTAGGCGGAACAAATCGGGTTACTCTTGCGCGTGCACACATCGTTATCTCCCCTGAGCGATTAGGCCAAAGATAGAAATGCCTCATTTTGTTGTCAAATCGACCGCTGCTGCTCTTATCATCTTCTTCTTTTTGTATTTTCTGTTTAAGCTTCATGCTGTTCAGTTGGTTTCGGTTCTCTTAAGGACAAAGGGAAACACTGTCTTGTTCTTTTTATGCTCAAGCAAGTTCCCTTTAAAGTCACCAGGGCAGTGCCTGGGAGACGTTGTAATATTTGTGTGAGATTGTTTGTTTGTTGTTGTTGCCTTTTCTGGGTTTTTGTATGGTAAGGGTGAGGTTCGACGTAATAAGCTATTTCCCATCCCCGTAAATACCCAACCCGCATAACACTCCAAAAAAGGAAACTATATGAACATGGAAACCGTTGCGTGGGCATACTCGTCCAGTCCCGAATGCATAAACGAATTAGGAAAAATAGAAAATTCACTTTTTTCCCCTCCCATGACTGCAGGCAGCTGAGGAGTTGAGTTAACACATTTGGGGGCGGGGGGGGGGATCATAGCAGCTTTGCTTCCAAGAATCCCATAAGCCAGTTCAGCCTGGTCTCCTGTGGGGTCTTCAGCTCGATCCTGTGTCCAGGTACAACTGACCAGGCAGGTCAGAGTTTAAAACTGCGAGAAGCCGAAAAAGAAAAACACTTTAACCTACCGTCCCATCGACCCCACACGACTTCTAGAAAGGGACAGCATCTCCTCGGCATCCATCTAACCACCATCGTCATTTTTTTTTCAGGGTGGGATAAAAAAAATTCAAGTAATTAATGAAACCAGTCAGGCGTGCACTGTCTCATCACTCTCGCTCGCCGAAGAGATATAAGAAACTGACAGGACTTGATGGGAAGATAAAAGATAAATAATATGATATAAGAACGATGTGTGCAGTGATCATAAAATGTTATACCCCCCTCCCCTCCCACACATACATTTTTTCTCTGTATCTCTATATCTCTTCCCCATCTCTTCCATCCCAACCGCCCCCCCCCTCGCTCTCTC